TAACAATTGTGGATGTTAGGATGTAGGCTAAAGCCATGATTGTTTGGAAGTGCCTACAGTATGCTTAAGAAATCTAACACTATTCAAGGAGCAAAGCTGTATTCATAGCAGCAAAGAACAGGGATTCAATTATACTTGCTCCCTCACAAACTGTTTCATAACCTTTTCAGTGTTGTCTCCCTTAAAGGCCAAATGGGTAGAAAAATTAAAAAAAAAAAGATTATTTGCTCAGGAATCATGAGCAATTCTACAGAAGGCAAAAGCACTAATAATTTTCTGAGTCATATACTGACCAATGATGGCAGAAACTTCAGTTTACCTTCACTATTTAAGCAAAACTACAGGAGGCATTATGATAAGAATTGCATTGCTCCACCCCTTTCACACCAATATACATAATAAAAAGAAAATTAAAAGTTTTGAAGGTCAAGTGACCAAATATCTGTGACCAATTTATGATCAGCAATTCACTCTTGGGTTCAACTCAGATTTTCCTCCCACTGAGGTGAAGGATGGCAGCCAGCCTTGAATACTTTTCTCATTCCATTTGCTAAACAAAAGCACTGAATCTGGTTATATTTTAAATATATCTACGGGGGTTATTTGAAAGGCAAAATGATTACTAATTTAGGTTTTCTACATAGAAGAGAGAACTACAAAAATTTTACCTGCACTGTGAAAAGCAAATTGAATGTTTCCTTCTGACAGAATTTCAGCCTTGAGAATCCCCAGGCCAAAAAACACTTGTTGTTTTCAACAAGTGCTGCTTTAAATGGCATGTGTAATATATTGTGTGTAAGTGGTAAGAAATGGCTATTGCAAGCAGCAGGTCCTTAGTTAATGAAAGGTTTGCCTTTACCAAAAATAATTTATTTCAAATTCCCATAAATTATATAGTGCGTCTAGGCAGTTTGACACCAGTCTATAAGCTGTTCCCTCAAATCTCCTTCACTACTGTAGAGACAGAAGGTGGCACACTACTGTTTCTACTGCTTTTTGATCTGTAATCTACAGGCCCACAAGTATAGCTTTCCTATGTAAAATTACCCAACATATAGAAACTAGACATAAAGACAGCATGGCAGGGAATAGTCAAGAGTTTGTTATAGGGAAGTCACTTAAAAGAATCAGCAGATATATGAAGAAAGGTAGTGCTCTTAAATGACACAAGCTCCTGTGAGATAAACGATCATTTTACTGGTTAGCAGTGGCTAAAGGATAATAAAAAGGAAACAGCCAGTTTTCAGGCAGCTAGAGTCAAGGGAGTAATCTCTGATTTGTGTTGCCTGTCACCAGTATGCCCATGTTGGCAGTGCAGTGGGAAGGGATTTGCAGAGTCAGGTGAAATTGAAGACACAGGGGGCTACAGGACAGGCATTTTCTGGGGAGAGAGAAGTACTTCATTTTGGCTCTAATTTGGTCCAGAGGACAGAGTGCCTGCTAGTAGTTACAGCTCGCCCTTTCATTTCATTTTTTCCAAAGAAAATATAGTTTGTGCACCCTGGGTCTGCTCTGCAATATGGCTCAAAGACCTGTAAGCAGAGGTCCCAAGCATATTTAGCTCAAAACGACATACCAAAATACTATGGTAGATGCACAGACTAATCAGCTGAAAAGATTGAAAACTGAGATGGTGAAGTCTGCTTTAATAATAATAATCATAGGAATTTCTTTATGCTTGCCAACAGTAAAATTGGTAGGCTGCTAAGAGCTCAAGCTTTGAATGAGAAATTAATGAAATCAGTGTTCAATAAGCAACCTCCACCTCATGGTTGTACAGAAATACCCACAAACACCGATCTCCCTGTGGACAGAGCACACAGATGGGTTCTAGCCAAACATTCCCATTTCAGGTAGCGTTCTTTGAAGACGTCAGCTCCGTGTTCACTGATAGTCAAACACCACACAACAGGTAGGAAGCATTAGAATAGGGTTACAGAACCAGAGCCTTTAGGCAGATGTTTGATTCTTTTGGGAATTTATCTGGAATTTTTACTGCATTTCTGGTCAGCCTATCTCAAAAAAGTGTGGGAGACCTGGAAAAGGTATAGGACTGGAAAACTGACCAAAACTGGCTGTTGTTCAATCTGTGAAGAAACAATAGGGGCACAGGGAAAAAGGGAAGACTTCACTCTAAAACCATAAATCTCATAGAGAAGCTGAATATATGAGATTATCACTATATATTTAGAATACCATCAGAATCAGAAACACTTTCTTTAAAACATTTTAAAGAATGAAACAGTAGTACTTCAAGTGAAATTCTGGAACTCCTTATCTTAAGGTAATGTGAAGGTCAAACATTTAAAAAAGTGATTCAGCAGAGAATTAAACAAACTTCACAGGTCTGTAAAGAGGTATTAAACACAACAGATGTGAGTGCAGTCTTCCAATTCAGGAAATTCCACCAATCCGAAGTCTGGAGTCTATTCCAGAAGACAGCTTACTCTCTACTGGTCCAAACTTTGATGGTCCTCTTAAGTTTGTCCAATTTAGTCCAATTTTGGGAGGAAGATTGATGAAGTGCCTCATATGATCCAGCACTGCTATCCATGTGATCCCACCTGAATGGCTTTGAATAGGTATCCCTCATATAATGTTTTAATGGACTTTTTTTTTTCCCTTCTGTTTTCAAGATGAAAGGATTAAAAAAGAGCAGAATGTTTTTAGTTTCTTAGATGGTATCAAATGTTCCTATCAGCAAAACGGGTCAGTATCAGGTTTTTCTTCCACTATACTTGGGCTGGGTTTATTGTCCTAATGTGGTTGTAGGAGGAAAAAAAAATCAGGCAGGGAATAGGGAGGTACAGGGAGAATAACAAAGACAGGAGAATGAGGCCCTAAGCTGTTTGAAGGATCCCTAAAAAATCCAGCTGCTTATTTCTCAAATTCAGCTTCAGTTTTTTGGGATATAGCTGAAAAAAAACATGGATGAAGGGCGAACTATTTGGGCGAAACAAATACTATTCAGAGCTCTGGTTTTATAGAATTCCTCCCTAGTTTGCTAAACTGCTTCAGCAGTTGGCTAAACTGCTCAAAATGTGTAAAGAACATAACATAGGTGTGCTAGGCAAAAGATAAAATCCCCAAAGCTCAACTATTTAGTGGACCATCAGAAACCAAGGTTCACATTCCAGTTGCTGCTTTGGAAAAGACTGTTTCATCGCTTGATTTCCCAACCTTGTTTGAGTCTAGTTTATTTTAAAATTATGGTGATTAGGAAGGGGGAATTTCACCAGAGTGCTGATAAATCATTGGCAAAAGAAGGAGATGGGTAATTAAGTATTTACAGAAACTTTTCATGCTCTAAAGTTTTGCAGCTCCCATGTACTGACTTCTTAGTACACAATTCATGTAGTTTATTTACATCTACCATAACTGCAGGGAATACAGAATTCCGCAAGACAATTCTAGTAAAGTCTGCTAAATCTTGGTACTTCCAAAAACTAAACAGGATGCTAACTTTCTCATAATCTTACCAACCTTCAATATATTTTCATTTTTGAAATAAGGTTACTAATAAAAGGGTTTATTTTCTGCATGATCTCTTTTTTCCCCCTTCTACTGCAAGCTCAGACATGAAATTTCTGGACAACACTGAGCAATATCTGGGGGAGGGATGGGAGTAAAATCATCATTGTCAACTGATGTATCCAAAACTAGGACATTTTAAAGACCTTAATGATATGTAATGCACTGAAATAATGAAAAGCTAATGCAGGGGGGAAAAAAAACAGATATTCACATTAAGCTATCCGTAAGTCTAAGCAACCAGTGAGACTGGAAACTAAAACTAACATCCCACTCCATTTTTCTAAAGCTCTGATAAAATAGGGTATGGAGATTTCTGCACCTTTTCAGACAAGTTAAAATAATTCAATACGCTTAAAGAAGAAACTGATGATATAATTTTGTAATGGATAAAGTATCATATAGCTCCATGTCATTAAACCTTTACTAATGGTTGCAGTTACATCTGAAGATGGAAAAACAAACCGCATACTAATACACAGAACATATTTTTAAGACATAATAGTTCATCTCACTACTAAAATTGTTCACATATTCACATAGAGAAATACTAAGAGCAAATTGATTGTGTTACTTAATTTCCTACATGCAGTGAAGAAATAATCTAACATTATGTGCTTTAATTTGCTTCCAACAGCTAATCTCTTCACTTTTCTCTCTACTGGAGGCCACTGAAAGTCTATTTATAGACATCAGCCAAAGACTTTGCACCTGTCTGCAAGTTCAACTCAGACTGCAGTGGAGCTTTCCTACAGACAAGGTGAGAATGATCAGTGCCCTGAAAGAAGGAAAACTTTCAAGGGGTAATGAATATTTTAATGACTTCTTTTTTTCAGTTTACAGGAATGAGTTTACTAAGGCTGATTGCCTCCCACATTAAGGCTCATTTCTGTCCTTGTTGCAGTTGCTTTCTACCTAAGAAAAACCCAAGTTATTTCTTTAAAACTGTTTTATTGGATTCATGCCAGAAAAAAATTTTGTCTCCCGCAATGATGCTTTATAAACATGTATGAGTGATAACTGGAGTAAATCCAGAATTGATAAAAAGTGTGAGAAGAATGATTGGGAAATAAACTAGCATCAAACCTTCAACAGCCATCTCTAAATTGCTCACAGATGGAAACGTCTATTTTGTTCCTAAATCCCAAAGGCTAACTCTTCTTGCACAGAGTGACTGATTACACACATGACCCACTCTGATGCTCTGGATGCATATTCCAGAGATGTACTTTCAAGTATCTAAATATCTGTATAAGTATTGCCTTTAGATGTCTAAAATTCATTCATTAACTCTCTCAGCCCTTGTAGCCTTTTTTTTTTTTTTTTTTTGTAGGGTTTCTTTTTTCCATTTTTTTTTTTTTAATATTCGTCTAGCTTTACTTTGTTGTGCTTCTAAACACAAAAACCAAATCCAAGAGAAGTCCTTGGAAGGAGAAGGGTGGATGGCAGGCAATAAGAGTATCACATACCTCTTGTTGTGCATACCTTTGAACACTTCATTGAGAAGCTTTCCTTGGGAGGATAAAACTCTGGTAGTGGGACAAAATACTCCTGTGCTGCTCCTGAGGTTTTAGAGTAAGGGCCTGAACAAACAGGAGAAGTCCTTGAGTGCTGGCCACCTCTGATGTCTCTACAATGTAGTAAACGACTGATGGTTAATCATTAGGTCATATTCTCTCCTGAACACTAGAACATGAGAAATTATCAGATGCTCCTCTTGTTGGAAGCAATTAGCTTGCTTCACAAATTATCTTGCTTGACCTTTTTTGCTTGCCTGTTTTGAAAGCAAATAATCCAAAAACTTGCATAAATCCATGCTCGCAAGGATATTTTAATTCAATTGTCCTTATTTTGGAAAATAGCGTACTCACTGGGTAGGCTGGCTGAACTGTTTAGCTTACTGGCAAAAGGTAGAAAGAGGAAATAACAGCTTTTTCATGAATACCAAACAATTTAGCTAGTCCACAGCACGCCAGATAATAGAAATGAGAGAGATTTTGGCATAATAAATGTGCAGAGTAGCACAACTATTTAATAGGTGTTTGTACTTCCAACTAGTGTCTCTCACAAAGATGTCTTTTAAAAGAATAATAGCTATTAAAATAAACAGATAAGGATTTTAAACTAGAGAAAACCAGCCTATTCAAATTTTTGAGGACCTTGAAGATATTTCAAGAAGAATCTAAAATCAACCCTCCTCCCCAAAAAAGATCAGTTTCTCCTGTCTCCAACTAGTCTCTTCATTGATACAATGGTCCAGTTTTCTGCAATGACATACAAATCTTAAACCTGCAGATTTTTAAAGTTTGTGAGATTTCAGTTATTTTTAGAGGAAAAGTGCAATTTTCCCTTTAAAATGAGCTAACACTCAAGTTAAAAGAAACACTGGCTGCAATTTTTTGTGTTTGTTTTAATAGAAATTTTCTCCCTGGTTTGAAGAAGAATTGGAGCTTGCCTTTTTCAAGGTACAGCTGGATGAGTTTGTTATTAAAGGGTATTTTAAGTCTCATTCAGCATTATTATTTTTAAAAGTCTTCTTTGTATTCCTTTTTTATCTTGAATTTTGTACCCACAGATCAGCATTTTCAACTGTAGTTTTGTTTCCTATTATCACTGCACTTCACTAAGGTTTATCTTCATCCAATTCCAGACTCAATATTATCTCGTTCATCCACATTAAATCATGTTCTTTGTAGTTCTTACATTTTAATTAAGACATTCAATAACAAGACCAATGCTAACTTCTCCGTGTTTAGCTGCCAACAGCTCTATTTGGCTAAAACATTTCTGATTTTTCTGACCTCTGTCCTGTGTCTTGTGCAACTACCAAAGCATCCTGTGCAGCTGTGTCACATAAATTAAATAAGCTGTGTGATTTATAAGATTTCCAGTAACTTGAAAGCAATCCCTTTGGTACTTCTGATGCAGCTGCTTCTCTCTATTGTTTCCTGTTACTTGCCAGAAAACAAAACAAGACAAAAAATCAAACCAAATCCCCCCAGTGTTCAGCAGCAGAGTACATTTAGGAAAAAAAATATCCTTTTTTTAGATGCCTTTTTTTCTCACTATGGCCTGTTCTGGCCACCTTTGCTGCTGTTTACCTTGAGGATTTTACCATTCTACGTAATTCTCCTCAGCACTAGGAGGAAGGTTGCTGTAGGAGTTTCAGACAGAAATGCATTTGGAAAGAGAAATACACGGTCTAGAAAGTCTAGTTCATCAGGTATGAAAGTATTAGGAACCCAAAGTACAGCTTCCACAAAATTCTTCTCATGTATTTCATTACAGGGTCTGGTGGTCTTCTGGGCAATCAGACAAAGTTTTTACCAAAACCCATGAGAACTCCATAAGAACTAAACAGAGGAAATGCTGTAAGGTTAAGCCAAACTCCTCCAAAACAACTGACAGAAAAGTTTTTCAATCAGTTTTGGTGGGGGTCTGATGGCCCCCAGATGTTTGACTTGACTAAGAATTATCTTCACGGCTGTTACAGATCTGCAACTGCAGCTTCCCTTCCTCTAATCCCTGGTGGATACAGGGATGTCTGTGAACCTTTACAGTCCATCCATCAATTTTCAACCTTTACAGTCCATCCATCTAGTTTTCAACATAAAACTAACAGCAAAACCAAGAAATCCAGAAAAGTGCTTAATTAAAAAGTGGTGGTTTAATTTATTGCTAGCCTTTCACACATTGTTTATATTATGAAAGAAAAAAAAACCCACATCAAACCTCCAACCCTTTTGTTTTTATATTTTTCTCTCCACTGTGCTATTAATGCGTTTACTGGCATTAGCTGCTCTCACTTCTAATATGTTCAAGATAATTTAACTATATTGCCTGCCAATCTCTGCTTTTGCTAAGGACAGGCATTCAGCCTCTGAGGGTGATTCTTAGGCTGGTCTTTCTTCCCATTTTTCTTCAGATTTTCATAATTTAGGAGAGACACTAAAAAAAAAAATCATTTGCTATTTTCACAATGCAATAGTTTTAGTACTATCCAAGTGTTTTATACTTAGCCATAAGTATTACTTGTAGTCCATGCAGTGCTCTTCTCTGCTCCTTTTATTGTTATCCGGTTTCCCTTACTAAAATGCATATTATCAAAGAGTACTTCAGTATTTCAGCTTTTCTATTATATTTATCTCCTCTCCCTGTTTGCCTTTATTCTTAAATTCCCCTACAATTCCAGAGACTGAATGGCAGAGATGAACACTCTGCTGCCATGGCCAATTTGCCCATGGTGTTTAGATCTACAGACCTCTCTCCTACAGTGCAGCCACGCACTGGCATGACCTAAAAGGAAAACAGCCTAAGCTCACATCTAGCGTGCTGCAGCCAGGCCAGGCTGGAAGGAGAAGTGCAATATCTTAAGAGTTTATTTGGCACTGGAAACCCATTAGTTGATCTGCTCATTGTGGTGGTAGGGGTTGACCCACTCTCAAGTGCTGCCAACAGCCTTAGACACTTCAACAAGCACTCGTCTATTGACAGCGACTACTGGAAGTAATTTTATTTCAGATTAACAGGAACATGTTCACAGCAACTTGAGAGCTCACAAAGTCCGCATGCTGGTCTCAGTCATGTAACATTCTTCTTTAAGCAGTGCATATTTGGCAAGCCACAGCTTGCCATCACCTGTTGACCAGTGTCTTCAAGAACTGTACTAAGACTCATAGCCACATTTCACCTACTTGTCACCCAACCTGATTCAGATCATCCCAGGAAATTCACATCTCTGCCTGTGTAACTCTGCCTGTGTTACACAGCCTATCTTTCTGTCCTGTCTCCAGCTCAAAACAAAGAAAAAAGGTTAAATTTCTAAGTGTAAAATAGCTCTCTTCCAAATGCAGTATGCTCATGCTTTCACAGCTGAGTAAAAGCTTTCTTTACTATTGTAAATTAAGCCTATTTAAAAGCAGAGAGAGGCAGACATTATAGACCTGCTGTGATCTATTTCTCTGAGGAGATAAAGACATACCTTCCATTGTATGGGTATGCTTTTCTTGCTCTTCTGTCTTCCTTGTATCTATCAGATCTATGGTTCTCATGGTGCCGGTATTGCTTATCTTGGTATCGACTCCCAGCATGAGACATCTTGTTTTTCAGATGTATTCTCTCCTTCTAAAACAACTTCCTGAGCCAGAGAAACAAAACCAGTTCATTTTATTGCTCCACTTAAAAGTTATTCATTGACCAGTACTCACTTCCATTAAATGCTGATTCAAAATAAGCACAGACTTCTTTAAGAAGTGAAGGAAGTAAACCCCTTTAAACTACAAGGTAACTTCATTAAGGCAGGAAATTTTTCTTTTCTTTTTCATCAAGGAAATGCAATGTTTCTGTACCTGACATTTATTTCATTTATCTTATTTACTAGGTCTGCTCTGATTCTCCTGTCTTTGCTGCCAGGGCAAAGGATCGTGTCCACCAACAACTAAATCTTGTCTTTTGCAATGCTGTGTCTCAGGTAAAGGATTAAGCCCAGCAAGTGCCAGTGCACAGCATGAGTGTGCACACAGCTGCCACTGGCACAGGGAAGTCTGGAAGAGCAGGCTGTGACCTTTGTCCTGGGAGTTTCTAAGAGGAGGGCACCCGTGGGTGTAAACAATCATTACCAAACATTGGCTATGATTTACATAAGCATTAGGTACAGGCAAAACTATGATGGGCTGAAAGTAAGCTGGCAAGAAGCTATACCCTGACAATTCCGTATTAAATACTACCAGTTTGTTATTTGCTGAAACTGTCTTCATCTTTTCAAGTACGATAAGATTAAGCCCAAACCTATAGAATAGGGAAACAGACGTCAAACACCTAAGAAATTTTTAGACTCATCTGCCTTCACCACAACCCTTCAACATCCCTGCAGAAGTGCCTGCAGTCTGTTTAATTTGCACTGATCAAGGCCTGGTGAACTTCCTCCATCTCCTTTGGGTGTTATAAAGTAAATAAATATAAACATTAAAATGCAATATAAAGGAATGAATTAATTTTTGTTGACGTCTAAGAGGGAAGGAGACATCGCCTTGCCCCGAGGGCAGGAGCCATTCCGCAGGGGAAGGTTCCTGGTGCCGCCGCAGCGACCCGAGACCCCCGTGGCGCCCGGGGGCCGCGCTGGCGAGGGCGCTGCCCCGGGACACCCGGGCACTGCCGCCGGGCACTGCCGCCGGGCACCCCCGCTTCCCCCCGCCGCCGGCTCCCCCGGGCCTCGGCCCTCACCTGAGGGACGCCGAGCTCCGTCCGGCCGCACAGCTCCCGGCGCCGCCCTCCCGGCCCGGCCGCCGCCCGCCTGCCCTGCCCGGCCGGCCCCGGCCGCTCCCGCCTCGGCGCGCGGGAAAGGTGAGCGGAGGCACAGAGCCACGGCGTCAGTTCGGCTGGAAATGAACTCAAGATCTCTGGGATCATCGAGTCCAGCCTGTGATCCAACACCGCCGTGTCAACCAGACCATGGCACTGAGTGCCGCCTCCAGGCTCCCCTTTAATACCGCCACGGATGGTGAGACCGGCACCTCATTCAAATGTCTGATCACTCTTCATATGAAGAAACTCCTCCTGATGTCCAGCCTGAACCGCACCTGGCACAGCCTGAGGCTGTGTCCTTTTGTTCTGCCGCTGGTCCCTGGGAGAAGGGGCCGTCCCCCACCTGGCTACAGCCCCATTCCAGGCAGCTGTAGAGAGTGATAAGGTCACCCCTGAGCCTCCTTTTCTCCAGGCTAAACACCCCCAGCTCCTTCAACCACTCCTCATGGGATGTGCACCCCAGACCCTTCACCAGCTTCCTTGCCCTTTCCTCTGCCTCAGTGAAGAAGAATGAGGACTGTGAGAATGGGCTGGTGTCAGGGAGCACAGGACAACACGGGCTTTGTTTAATTTAATCAAATGATGTCTCTGTGCCCTGCAGTGCTGAGGAAGAACTTGGTAACCATGAGAGGATATAAAACCTGAAGGTTAATAAAGCTGAAATTCAAAGTCCTCACAGGCTGCCTTACTGTTTTTCTAAAGCCACCTCCATTGATTGGCAGAGTTCAGGGCAGGAAGCCTCACAGAATGGGGGGTGTGGGCAGGGTGAAGGGAAGGAGGTAAAAGATAATGGTTGGCCCTTGTGTCCAGGAGCAGGTGTGTAGGAATGGCCAGTGTCACACTAGACGGCTTGCACAGGGAGGTAAGCAGATAGACTCTCCTCCACTGCAGGGCCATGTTTTGGATAAATAGCCATTTGAATGCATGCAGTCTCCTTTCTTGGTGCTCTGCTGAAAGCCCTCCCTGTGGTGTTTGTGCAGGGGCTTTGTCGCGGCACTGCCAGCCTGTGATGTTTCTCTTACGGTGAACAATGTGCTGGTCTCCTCAGGATGCCTTCTGTTGGCGTTTATTATCTCTTTTTGGAGTGGGTCTGGACAAGCTCTTGAACTGGAATTGTAGCAAATGGCTTGTTGGTTGTGCAGTCCTGTACACAAAAGCAGTCTGTGCCTGGGGAACAGTGTGATGGTGTTAATATGACACCATGCCCAGCTAATATTGAGCTTTGGAAAGCTTCCCTATGCTGTGGCACTGTCCTGCACAAAAGCTGGGAGCAGGAAATCCCTTTCCTTCCCAGGGCTTTCACAGCAGCATGCTTGGGGTACCAGAGCTTTGTGAGTTTGGGCTAAGATAAGTAGCTGTTAGTGCAGTCCCATGGCAGAGGCAAATCCAAAATCCCCTTTAAGTAACATGCAGGTAACAGAGGAGCTGCTGTCCCTGAAATGAGGAGATAGCTACAGGAACTGAATGCTCAAAGCACATGTTTTGAAGTGTGGTAGGAGTGTGATTCCCTGCTCTGTTTGAGCTGTGTTAACAGCTTCTTTTGCTGTTTACCATTCTCACCTTGCCTAGACCTCTTCTGCAGTTCCTGCCTTCAGCTGTACACTTCATCTTCTTCTCTCTGTCTTGCACCAACTCTAGTGCTTGCTTGATCACATAATAATCCAGTTCTGCTTGCTTTCCAGCCAAAACCAATTTACTTTCTGCTGTTTTAGTGAGTTGAATTGGCTTTGTGCTGCAATCAAATGTGCACTGGAGCAAGGACTTGGCAGAAGCACATGTCCCACAGGGAAGAAACTGGGGGAGGGATGGGGGAAGAGGGCTACCTCTCTTGGCAGCAGTCCGTGGTGACTGTAACTGAAGCCCCGATGAGAAGTTGCAGTTTGAGACACCACTACCCATCAGTCGCTACGCCTTCTCAGTTTGGGGCTGTCATCTGGCTAGCAAAGGCAGCCTAACACAGGAGCGTTTTGTAGCTTTGTTTGTTTCTAATTCCTGTTTCTATTTAAAGGTTGTTTAAGCTAGTTTGGCAGATTTTACCCCAAAGATTAGAGTGCCTGCATGAACTCCCTTCTCTTATCTAGACAACAAATATTTGGGAAATCAATTAATCATTTGCATCCAGCAGAGGATATCTACTCTTGATGGAGGGCATGAGGAATTACATCTCCCTTCTGGTGGGCAGGTTTCATACAAACAGTTGAAAAATCACAAGGAGTCATGGCTGGAAATAGACTTTTTTGGAGGGGCTGAAATATAAGAGTATCCTTGACAGCCACTGTTTGCAGTATAACCAGTAGTTTTGTTAAAGCATTTCTCATTCTGGACTGAAAGGGTTCAGGTGTGGCCATCTTGGTTTGGAAGACTGGGTGGAACTGAAGGGATGCTATTATGGCCTGGGTAAAATTCAGTGAAGCCAGTGGGCAAAATAAGTATTTAGAAGAGTTTAAACTGATTATGGAACCAGGTAGTTGAAATAAGAGGGTCATAACCAACACAGAATTACAAGGTGAGATCTACATTAAAAAAACCCTTTAAGGGTTTTTCCCAGTGAACTCATAAAGAAAATACAAGATAGCAACTGCTGGAGTTGCCTTTATATGACATAAGAACCAGTGAAACAACCCACAGAAAATCATGCTGACTAGGGTGAAACATCCAAATGTAGGAGTAGGAGTGTGTTTCTAAGGAGAAAATCATGAAGGGATTAGATATTGTACTGGCTAAATTTAAATGACAACCACCAAGGAAAAAGATCAGATCATTTGTTCTTACATTATTGCAGGTGAAAGGATGCTGTGTTGTATATAAGCAGATAGGTTTATATCAAAGATGCACTCGATTCTGTCATCAATTTCTCTTTGTAATAGAAATAATGTTTGGGACTGAATTTTGGCTAGCTGATGAAGTCCAGAAGGACTGATGTTCAGAAAATGAAGTGTGAACTGTTTTGATTTTTTTTTCCCCCCCTGGTAATTTACTCGAGTAGGTCACATCTGTGTCTTGGATCAATGTAGTCCTGGATACATGCTCCCACCTAACAAAACAAAACAAAACACAATGAAAAAAAAAAAAAAAAAAAAACCTAAAACCTAATCTAGGTACAGGGTACAAGGTGCTATAAATAGATCTCCAGGGACAGATTTCTCCAGCCAGGCAGGCAGGGCACCACTGGAGTCTGTTCAGTCTGACAGGAACACTAAGCTCCTGAGATCAGCAGGACTAAAATTAGCTTTGGAACACTATTGTCTACCCTTATGCTGCTGCTTTTATATGAAATCTGTTGTTTATTGTTATAAACAACAAAAAAGATTTTGGATTGAATGCTTCCCCCCCCCCCCCCCTTCTTAAGGAGATCTTAAAATCCCTGGTCTTTGGAATGGGATGTACATTCAGTTTGCAAACTAAGTAATTGGTTATGTGTGGTCAAATTTTTTTCTGTGCTAATGACAAAAAAAAATCACAGCATTAAAATTTTTTTCAGCAAAAGAAATGTAAACAGTCATGACTGACTTAATATTAATATTATATCCTTGGTGTGTGCTGTTACAAACACTTAATTTTAAAAGCAGTGGAACCATGGACTTCTTTTATTTTTGTCTTCTTTATTTTTGTCTTTGGAAATGTGTGAATTGTTTGGTCGGTAGCTGTTTGCTGAGTACTTCCCAGCATCTTCTGAGTAATTGTCTAGTTCTGATTTAGAGATCTTACAACATGGCTTTCTGAAGAGAGGGGTTTTATTTCACTGAATCTAGACCCTGACTGGGGTTTCTGGGACACATCCAAAACAGGCTGGAGGTAGTGAGGATGTTTCTATTGAAGCCTTGAATCCTAAAAGGCTGTTATCTGTGGGCCCCTCCATATTTACATCAGCTTGAAGTACAGAGCTGTAACACCAGCCTTGGTAGGCTCTGCATCACCACAGTTGTCAGTTTCATGCTGGCTTTCCTCAAGTTCTTCTGTTGCTGGCCACCCAAGATGTATCTGAAACCTTATCATTAATTTTCTTTTTCCCTGTTCCTAAATGGAGCTGTAGTAGGCTAAAGCTGTTTTTTTCCCTTCTAAAATGTTGAGCAAAACCAAAATGGCTTTTGAAATCTGAGAAACTGTTAGCATTAAAATTTCTCCCTCGTTTCTTAACAACCTATTCTCACAAATTCCATCTGTGTTGTGGTGAAGTTGGGGGAACCCTTGTCTGTGTAGATCTTGAAGACTGTCTGCAACCTCATACTTAGTTTTCTGTAATAATTTACCACTTCAGTATGAAAATGTGTCAGGACTGAAATTTGCTTTCAGAGGATTTGTAGACCCGGTGTAGATCTATGCAATCTGAACTGCTCTAAAATTCACCAACTGGTGAACCTTTGTGCAGTGCTTTTGTCTTGACCATCCCAGAGGTCTCAGCAGTCCTGGGCTTCTGATTCTGTGTGCCAGTTTGCAAATTGCACAAAATTGCAGCAAGAGCAGCTATCTGGGAGCACAGGCACTTCCCTGTCTCTTGGCATGAATACATTGCATTCCATTTTACATTAGTAAAATATTTATGAAGTTTTATTAACATGGTAGGGGCTCTTGCTCTTTCACAAGAGGTAGCAATTATGAGCAGCCTGCCTTCTCTCTGATTTAATCTACTCTCCCATCTAATGTTTTTCTTTTCTCATCTGGACACAGATAAAATCCAATAACAGGGTATTTATCTTGTGGACAAAACGATCAGAGTTTGAGTCAACACTCGAGGCAGTCATTGGAAAGATTTCTCGTGCATAGAAAATTTATGAAGGTACAGAGGTGCTGGGTTCAGTAATCGAGCCTTAAAAGGTATTTTCAAACATTTTGTTCCTGAAGAAAACACATATTCCCTTGCAGCTCTGAGCTGTTTACATCTGGATAGTCTGGCTGGGGCTCTAAACATCAGCAATTGTATGTGTTAAGAAGGAAAAGAGGTATTAAATTTAGGTGTCCTGTTCATGCAAACAATTTGTCATTCTTTTTTCGACCTCCTGAAAAAGAAATGCAACAGTGGCATCCTGTGGCCCAAGCAGCTCATGGCAGGTGGGTTTGGTTTAGGGCAGAATCTGCCACTAAGGTCTTCCTTCACTGAGTGAGAAATGGGTTGAATTGTTTCTAAGTTAGTTTTCAGAAGAAGCCCACAATATTCAACACAGTGCACATTTAAAACCTGAAGTAAAAAGCTGCTATATACTTTTCAACCAGGACCCTCCACCACTTTATCTTATTCTGCTTATTTTTCTACCAAATACCTTGATGTTTGGGACAGAGAGCATGATCTCAGTTACTCACCAAGGAGACAGGACTTCTGCACTGCTGTCTTTGTGCTGATGAACATTTCCTCCAAAAATAGGAATAGAGGAGAAGCTCCTGTTTCTAATTAACCCACGGTTTAGTGCAGCATACTGGGTCTAAAAATGAATGCTTCAGGAATGTCCAGTAAAAAGAAGACAAATAAGAGTTGTTTTCCCTTGCACCTATATCATACCCAACAGCTCACTTGAAACTCAGCTTGAGTTTTTGGAAGTCCTGGCTTTAACCTGTTTAACTTGGACAGGCTGTGATTTGCTTACCTCCTCACCAGCAGATATTGGCAGTTGTGACCACCAGGCTCTCTCCAAAAGCTGTCAGGCATGCCAGAAGGCACCTTAACAAGAAATATACAGACTCACCTGCAGTCATGTGGGCAATTGGCCAGAAAGCTGTTGATAGCCT